CTAGTGGAGTATTTGACATCATCCCTACTCAAAACTCAAGCATCTAAAGTTAAACAAGATGGAGAACTACAGGAATAAGAAAAAGCCTGCTCACAACTGACAAATGGATTTGTTTGTGCTTAATGACTACTGCTCTAACCTCTAAAAGGCAATGCTGAGTCAATGAGCTTATCTGAAAGTGATTAGCAAGGACAAAAAAGTGAAGCGAAGTTGGCCTCATAAACCATGAGGTATGGAGGTTAATCAGCTACATTTCTCTTTCTGCAAACCACTAACAAACCTGATTAACACACTTCTCTTTCCAAGTTTCTCAAACTTTTTCCATTTCCAAAAAGTCTCCCTCTGTGCTTCTGCAGCTGGCCCATCACTAGCAAAGTACTCCTTATCTTCTAGCTAAGATGCTCTAAAATGTCAGTCTGTTACATTAAAAAACCAAAGTAATCCACCTAAGTCTTTCCCTTCACACACTTTCTTGCACACATTTTCCTAAAATTCCTTGCCACATCCGTGGGAGCCATTCACTGTGCAATATTTTCCTCAAGGAGTCTGGGAAAGTGCTACATGGGAAATCATACTAAAATAAAAATATCCAGATGTGTGGAGAAATGTGAAGTGAATATGTTTACAGTCACAGCAGCCGGGGATCCCTCTACTTCACACAATCCCTTCACTCTTTATGGTCAGGCTTCAAAGAAAATCACACTTCATGTTAGAAATAGGACTTTGAAAGGCAAGCACTGAGAATGAATCTGCACCTGTACTTTTGCCCCTGACATTTGACACTGCACTTCCCTGCTTGTATGTCCGGATCCTCTGCTAAATGGTGAGATCCTGGAGGGCAGGAGTCCTAACTTCGGGCTCATTTTTGCATCTCCAGTCTCTGGCTCAATGAGAGTATGTTAAAAATGTCCATTTTGACTTTTATGTGGACTGGTCTTGGTTTTTCATTTCTAATTTGACTCAAATGCTCATGTGCTTCCTCCACTAAAAGTAAGTTGAGGAACTTGGTGTGGGGATAGGAGTTTGCAAAACTAGCAATAGTAATTTCTGCTAAGTGGGAATGGGGGTGGAACACCAAGATTGAGGCCCGTCACAAAGCCTAGCACTTTGCCAACTGAATGGTAATGTAAACTTATTACTGATAAAGAAGAGAATGAAATTGGTTGTAAGAAAACCTGGGTCCCCTTTTAAATGGGATAACATGAAAATTTTTACAAAACTGTATCAGGCACCTTGTAAGAGCTCTATACATATTAATTATTATTGTTATGTCAGTACCTTTTGGATATGCTTTTGTCTTTGAGAATTTTAACTCTTGTTCATTTTCCCTCATCGTGATACCCTAGCATTAATGACATAGTGTTTGTAAAGTGTTTTGAAATCCCTGAAGTGTTATAATCAACCCAAGTACCATTTTATTTATGCAAACTGTGTCTACCCAGCGAGTCCACTTAAACATCTAGGATTGGGAACCTCTGTCTCATAAGGCTTAATAAATGATTCCCTCTGGCTCTAAAAGCAAGTACTTTTTCAATGACAATGGGAGGGAAAGCAAAGGAATTACTCTGTGACATCTGCTGTGCAATGTTCTTCGAATGGCACATCTCGATAAATGCATGAGACTCCTTGGAGAGTTACTGCATACAGTGAAGAGAGAGTGGTAAAAATCCCAGTATCTCTGAAAAGGAAGGCAAGATGCGTTAAAGTCAGAAAAGCCTCAAAGTTTACATCAACAGAAATCAACAGTGATATATTTAGTTCCTACTTTATACATAATGGTAGGTTTCTAGGGGTCTCTGATGGTGAGGCAAAATTAAACACAAATAATGAAGCTAAGGCAGGCTAAGTGACTTTTAGAAAGTAAGACAGCTAATAAGTAGCAGGATAAGATTGCACCTAAGCCATTGGCCTCTAATCCCAGTAAGCTTTGCACTCTGTGCCCGACACCCCTCCCGCGCTGCAGACAGCCTGTGACAGCTAAAACCAAGAACAGGAGGCTAAGTGGAAGGGCTGGCTCACAAAGGCAGCAAAGTCCATTCGGAACAGGAGGACTCAGCTTTGCCAATGGCTTTCTGCATGACTCATCACAAGCTGTTTTTAACACTCTGTTATCTGTCTACTAAAGAATTCAAGATACTTACAAGTGAGTGAAATAATCTACACAAAAGAATATAATCTTCTGGTAAAAGTGCTATAGGAGCAATCCCAAATGTTGTTGTTATTGTTATTATTATTATTATTTAATTCTAAATTGATGGGAAAAAAAGTAAAACTGTCACCTTCCTATAATCATTCAACTTGCCCGTCGATGATGAAATCCCCAAGGCGCTCCCAAGCACTACCTACCTGATGCATCTGTTTGCTCTCACACCTGCATTTCATAACCCTTTGTCTCATGCATTTGAGCAGCATTCTCAAATTCCTAAAAGCACTCTCACAACTCATTTTCTGAATTAGAATTTCCTGCACCTCCACTGCAGTCTGGAAGCATTTTAGAGTGAAAACCGTTGGCAGTGAATTGATGCTTTACCTCCAAGTCATCATCAGGGATAGCTCTTTTCCACTTTACGTTCCACCTGATGTGTTCATAGGCATTGACGACAACTTCAATTGCTTTGGGATAAGAATGGCAAGCCTGTATCACCTGCAAAGACACCACAGAGTTTCATTTGTTCAATGCACATATATGATTTATTCATTCAACTCCCAGAGACATCAAGAATTCATGGACCCATAAGGCTCCTTGGAGCCCTGAAATGCTTTTAAGAAGTCTCAGGCCTTTGAGTATTCAAACACACTGCCAATCCCCCTGGTAGATGGGAGGATTAATAACATCAAACTAATTTCCTCCACCATCCAGGAGCAAGTGAAAAAGACGTGCTAACAAAGAAGGTGGGAGCCTGATGAAATTCATGCCCTGCCCATAACTGAAGTAATTTTGAGAGAGGCTGGTCTGGTCTCAGAACACACTTTCAGCTGCTTAGAAACTCTTCCAGTTCTACAGAAAATTTTATTAGCAAAAATGCTGAATGTTAGTAATCTAAGAACCAAGACCTACTGGTGACTAAGAGGTAAAGCCAACCACAGAGTAATATGAAAGTTGACCAAAGATGTCTTCCCAGAATAATGCCTAAAGAAGACTGACGTTACATACTCACATTCACAAGTCACATTCATTGGTATTTTAGCTTTCGTGAGCAGTGAAAGCAGTATGAAGCCTAGTTATTTTGTTAGTACACTCTATTCAACACTTCACTGACCAACCAAAACAACTGGAAAGCTGAGTCAAGGTGGCCAGCATTTCCATCATGAGGCAGAAACACTTAGCTTTAGATTTTAGACCAGATTGGATATTTAACCAACCTTCGATGTCCCCATAAAATCTGGACCTGTCTGACCAGTCAATCGTGCGGGCTTTATTAAATGACAATGGAGATATATATGAGACATACCCTAAAAGTAAAACACACCAGATTCTTGTGAGAGACTTACGATAAGAATGAGAAGCAAAAAATACATAAACAAAACAAGTGAAAATCAATGGAGATACATGGTGGGACCACACAAGTGTTAGATTACACGGCTTGAAAAGAGGATTATAGAAATTCCAAGAGGGAGACCTGTGTGAGTTGGGCTAACTAGGGATGTTCTCTTAGAGGAGATGAGTTCAACTTTAGGTTCTAGATGGTAGAAAGGTGTATATGTGTGCTGTGTGCCTGTGTGCATCCACTTAAATGCCTAGCTTCATATGCAGTATCAGCAAATGTAACAGTCATGTTGAAAGACTGGTACTCCAAGGGGTACGACAACAACAACAAACCCAGCTTCAGTATCTCCCTTTCTCCTGCTCATACAAACCCCCTCCCTGGAACCCTTCTCCACTCCTGGCATGACACCTCAGGCAGGACTCACACCTATTTCTACTTAGTTTTTAATAATATAAAGTACTCCAGCCATTCTAGACATAAGAATAACGTCATTTCAGAAATAAAAATGTCCATTTTAACTGAGTCATTGAAATTTCAAATTTTATTCAAATTACAGTTTCTCCTCTCCCACAGCCCAGGCCTGCTTCCAGCTGCGGTGGGAAAGGAGCTAATGTGGGTGTGGTATAATAGGAAATACACATTTGGTCTTTGCCTCTGGTTCCTGGCACAGAGATCCTTAAACTGAGCTCCTTTCCACCACTTCAATGATGCTAATGAAGTGACTGTCAATGAGACTCCTCAAGAGCTTCAAGATGTGGGCTGCTTGCTGGAAAGACCAATCCTTGATTAGAGGATTAGAACTTGTACACACCTTGCCTCCCACCTCCAGGGAAAGAGAGAGGGGCTGGAGATTGAGTTCAATCACCAATGAGTTCACAGTCATGCCTATGTAATGAAACTCCCTAAAAGATGGGAGTGGGGAGCTTCTAGGTGAGTGAGCACATCAGAGTGCTGGGAGGGTGACAAGCTCCAGAGGGCACAGAAGCTCTGTGCACCCTTTCATACCTTGCCCTATGTGTGTCTTCTAATTGTCTACTCCTGAGTTTTATCCTTTGTAATAAACCGGTTCTAGTAAGTAAAGTGCTTTCTTGAGTTCTGTGAATTGTTTAGCAAGTTATAAATCCCAAGGAAGGAATTGTGGGAACCCATGAATATGTAATCAGCTGAGTAGGAATGTGAGTAGGGTGGGTACCCGATTTGTGGCTGGCATCTGAAGGGGGTGCGGCATGTAGGACTTAATTCTTAACCTATGAAGTTTGACAGTAATTCCAGGTAATTAGTGTCAGAATTTAAATGAATTTTTGGCCACCCAGTTGGTGTCAGAGAGTGAAGAACTGGTTAGTGTAAGAAAAAGCATTGAAGTTTTCCCAACTGTTGTCTTTTCCTCCCCTCTGCCAGACCCGTTCCTGGACTGCTCTGCATTTGGACAAAGGAAAGAGAGAGGAAAGGGGGAGAAATGGTCTTAACCGACTGGTACCAACATGACCTCGCATTGATGGCTTCTGGGTTGGTCTCTTCCTCTCTTGGGGAAATTATGTGCCCCCCCCAATTTGAAAGAGCCAACTTTCTAGACAAGGGCAATGCCTCTCCTCAGATGGGTCCCTTAGAATCCTCGCGCCTCTCTAACAGCCTCTGTCCACCAGAACATCTCTAGCTTCTTTCTGCCACGATGGCCCTAACTCTGGAAGTCCTTTTGGTGTGGCCCATTTTCATTTCAAAGTGACCTCATTAACTCTCCAATGTGACACACAACTGGTCTAGGGGAACCTGTACTGTATCCTGTTGTCAGCGAAAGTACTCTCAACTCCCACTTTAGTCACTGTTCTACCCTTTGCCACCAGACAAGCAGCTCCAGCCTTAGATGTGCTCCTTTAAATTTTCTCAACATGAGTTACATGTCAGTTCCACTTTTTACTTGAAACTTCAGAGAACATATATCAAGCTCTCTGCAGAGTCCTCTTAAAGCCCCTCTCATTGGATGTGGAATGAGGAGGAAGCTCCCCAGGCCTACCAATAGAAAGAAGGCACGCCTCTATAATTAAACAACTTTTTCCACAGAAGTTTTCTTCCTAATTTCCTGGTCCTTCACAACCTCAACCTATTATTGTTGGGCAAAAGGTCACAAAACTGGTTTTCTCCACATCCTTTACAAGTCCTTCATAGCTGGTCTAGCACTGCAGTTTTCAATGTGAGGTTATAAGTACCTGATGTCTTGGGACTTCGGGCAAAACTAAGACAGAAAGATAATCGTTTTAATATTTAGATGTGCATGCGTGTGTGCATGTGTGCGCGTGTGTGTGTACCGAGGTCACCTGAATGAAGAGCCTATATTAGGAAAGAGCTAAAGTTAAGAGCAGGTAAGATGGAGCCAGATGACTGCACACCTGGGAGGCCAGTCTGAAGAGCTTGGGATTGGCTTAACAGGCAACAGGAAGCTATTATGTATTCTTAACAAGAAAGGGTTATATTCAACCAATTCATTCCATTAGGAAGCCTTTACTGAGCTTTGCATTTAGCACTATGACAGTAATTCTGAGTTTATGACCTGTTTTTTGTCTTCAAGAAAGTTTACAACCTAGTTGAAGAGAAAAGACATAGATATTTCAAAGAGTTCAAGAGCAATGTAAGTCAGTAAATAATAAGAGACTAACTTAAAGATCATCAGTGTCCCTTGAGCACCATGAGCAAAAGCACAAGGAGGAAAGCAAGGATATGAAGGGCAGAGAGCCATGAGGAGGCTGAACGTGAGTGTCCCAAGTGGTTTCTCAGGTAGCTTTGCTGTGAGTCATGAGAAGGAAGGGCAACTGAAGCTGCAAGAAAGAACAAGTCGAGTTTAATGACTAATCAGATACAGGGAGGAAAGAATGCAACTTTGAATCCTGAGATCAAGTACAAATAAGGGTGCCACTGATGGAAATGAGGAAATTACAAGGGCATGCTAATTTGGGGATGGTCAGGTAAGGAACAGGAGGATATTTCCTATGTAATGTCCTAATGTCCGTCAAAAATGTACATGATAAATGCTCCAGTGAGGAGGCCAAGATGGTGAGGGAGATTTGTGCACCATCAACGAATGTGCTGGTTAGGTTCAATCACACTCTGAGTGGATATAAATGGAAAAGATAGAGGACCATGGTCTGAAGCTTGAGGAATCCTAGTCGGCAGGAGAAAAGAAGAAGAAAAGAAAGTTACAGCTACCATTTTTTGAGGACTTATCACGTGTAGGGGCCTATGTTAAATCTTTGCATGTTTAGCTTGCTCAGTCTTCAGACAACCCTATGAAATTAGGCCTATAACTATCCCCACTTTACAGATGTAAAATCAAAGTCTGACAGAATTTAAACTAAAGGTATTTAGCTTGCAAATGACAGAGCTAGCATTCACACTCAGGCCTGTGTGACTTTTTTTGGAGGAAACCAGATGGATCAGAGTGAAAGACACCAAACGAGGAAAGCATTCAAGGCTGGATTCTCAGCAGGGCCACAAGTGGCAAAGCGATGAAGGCAGGTGAAATACCGCCAGAGCTGAGTAGCAGCCAAGTGCCAGGAGTCGAGTGGGCTAACACACACGAGGACCAGGTTGTGGGACACAGATGGAGGATGGACGCACAGCTGCAATCAGGGCTGACCCATCCTCATTGCTAAGACCCACGGAGTCGTGGCATACAGAGTTTTTCGGGCTCAATACATGATTTTCCTTCCTGAGTTTAGAACCAAGCCATCAACAAATGAAATGAAGATGACAAAAAATCAGAGATCAGAGTATCTTTTTTATTACTAATGAAACTAACTACCACTTATACGTTTAGTTATGGGGCCACATAAAGCTTCCTAGCACCCTACTCCCAAATTAAATTTACACCCTGAAACTGCAGGCCTCTCTCTGGCAGACAGAACTTTTTTTTCTAGAAGCTTACCACACAGAGGAACCGAGAATTCAGGTATCCTCTAGGTCCAAAGTTAAGTAAACAAACTCAGTTTTTCCTCCCAACTCATCAATCTGTTAAGTGGAGTAAGAAAAGGTTTGGAAAAGAGGTTGGTGGGGGGTTGATTTTAGCAGAATTTTCTTTACAAAAACATGAGTCAAATGAAATGGCAATTCTCCTCTAAGACGTAAAATTCAGGTCCAACGGCCCACGCCCAGTGGGAATCAGGAA